TATGGAAAATAAGGTATTTTGTTTTTAAAAAAGAAGTCTGCAGCTGGTGGATATTGTTCAGTAAAATTATAGTTAAATGTAAAGCATGTAAATTTTCTTGTACTGAAACATGTGTATGCATACTGAGTTTACTATTATTATGTCAATTCATGCATGCACATATCATACAGAATTATCTCAACTCATGCATATGTTATTATTATTCAAAAATATGCCAAAAGTCACAGCAGTTCTACCAGATGTTGAGAGAGGGTGTGCAAATAATATTTAAAGGAACCCAAATACTTTCATATGTGCTTGCACTTAAGTGTTGAGTTCTTTGTATCAAAACAAAAAATGGAGCTAATCTTTGGAATATGGTAACAGGTAGTTTGGTGACATTTTGGTATGGCGATAAAGGTTACTAGCTAGGAGTTTAGCAATAATCTGAGAAGAACACAGTTCGAATCACAGATTATTTTGTCTCACAGAAATTAGAGATCATGAGACATGTAACGTGACTTTTTCCGGAAAATTCCGGTCGTGATTTTTTAGCTAATAATACTTAGAAACAATTTTGCTGCTAAAGTGCAGATCGCCCACTTATTTTGTTTGGCGCTTTTTACAAGAGTAAGAAGAATTGGATTTTTGTCAATTTTCTTTGACTTTTTAAGTGAAAATAGGTCGAGTGTAGATAAAGTCAAGTGTGTGCGCAATGCCATTTTTGTTTTTGTGCAATTCTGGGATTTTTTTTTTTAAGTGAAAATAGGTCGACGTGTACATGGATACTGTGTATGTGCAATTCTTAAAAACGCGGCAAGCAGTTTGCAATTCTTCACTATCTCCCAATTTCGCACCTAATCTTCGTCATGATTAAGCATTTTTGTTCCATAAAAGTTCTAGTATAAGCGTAATTCGGCTAGTAGATTGTTGGAAAAAAATGTTGAGTAAAAAAAAAAAAAAAAAAAGCCTCTACTTCTTGGAAACAAAATGGCGTAAAAAAAAAAAAAAAAAAAAACTAGTAGGTTGCTGTAGCAGGGTTGGCCGCCAAAGTTTCTCCAAAAAATCACCAAGTTACCATAATTTGAAGATTCACCAAAAATGGTATTTGTTAATCTGGCCTTTCTCCAAGTTTTATTTTTAAAAAAAAATTAAGATACTTATATATTCGTGCAACCATCTTGGCACATTTTGGTAGTATATTTAACAAATGAAAAACAACGATGACTTATGACTGCAGACTTACTTATTGTATGCATGCAGATTATTACATAGATATTCTATGTTTTAATTAAGTACACATTCTGAAAATCAATCAATAAACATGTTTAAAGCATTCCTCCCCCTTCTGCTGTGGTGGACATTTTATGACAATCACTTTAAAAGCAAATTCAAATTGATTATTCAGTTTAGCAATTTTATGGCAAAATACCATATTTTTGGACAAAAAAATGATTGCAGTTTTTTCCATTACAGGCAAATCCCACACATGCCTATTTTAAAATTTAACTGCAGACAAAAAAAAAAAAAAATATTGCAATTTATTTATAAAAAAACCCATTAGAATTTGAAATATAATTTAGGGAATGCCAAAATGGCAATGTTATATATTAAAACTGAAGAATTATTCTAGGCATGGCTGCCACAATTTAGTACATTCTTAAAATTAGTGATTTCTACTAAAGGGGCTGTGCTAATATGTAAGTACCAATTTAAATAAATTATGATAAAAAATCTAAATAATTTTTGGTACTATTCCGTTTTGAGGACCGTAAAAAAATTGCAGTGAAAATTTATGTGCAAAAGCATCAAATCTGGCAAACCCGCTCATTTAACACAGCGCCAAATCTAATGTACATGCTGATTTCAGATTGTGTAAGTTTATATAGTTCTATATTTCTTAAGACGCCATTAAAATACTAGTGTAATTTTTAAATCCTTTTTTAATATTCTATGGATTTAACAATTTAGGAACTGCCCATGGTAAAAAGTCTGCAATAGAATTTTGGGTAAAGTGCAGAATTACTCACTGCTTGACGTGTTTTTAAGAATTGCACATACTCGGCGCGGCGTGGCGCGCAATGAATTAGAAGTTGATCTGTCAGCACTATCCTTATCTTCAGGGCAAATGTTTTTATTTTATTTGTCTTATAATTCCTTACTAAATGTAGTATTTCATCTCGATGTACTCTGATATGATTTAAATCAAATTCCTCGTCATTATAATTTGCTTCCGATAGTGAGGAAAGTGACACAGAGGATATTGAAAACGAAAAAATTTCGATTGACAAATTAGTCGGTATTCTCGACACAGCAATTACAGTGGAAGTTTGTAACTGAACAAGAAATTATGTCCTTTTATAGAATTAAAGAGAAAGTATTATCACATAAAACGAAGCAACTTAAACAACTTACATTGAAAGAAATGTTTAATAAAGTAAACAAATAAATATTAAGCCTTTTTTTTTGTAAATTTTGATACCCTCTGCGATTTTTTTAAGTGAAAATAGGTTGATGGGTACATGGATACCGAGTTTCTGCAATTCTTTGTGTTGTTATTTTCGCTTTGTGTAGCAGCGACTTTTGGCCCAAAAATTGCCTCTACGCAAGCCAAAATAACAATTCAAAGAATTGCGCAAACTCGGCATCCATGTACCACCAAAAATTGCGAATTTTCGCCAATGGTTACCCATAAATATACTTTTACCAATATATTTTCTAAAAATAAAAATTTTACTAAGCAACTTTAAAATGTTGTTTATAGTAATCTCCTTAAATTAATGTTTTCACGGACTATGTTGCTGTTGAATGAAAAAGAAATATTACCAATATTAAGAAATGATTTTACTAACTTTCAAAACACTTTTTAAGTGGACCTTTCCTTTCTAATTCTACATCGAAATCTTGTATTTTCTGACTCACTTTACTTTTATGTAAAATTTTTCTAATGCAACCATATGATTAAAATTTGAATTTTATGATTTTAGCTATGTTTCAAAATTTGAGATTCATCAAAATAATTTTAATCCTTAAAATATGTCATAATTTCTGTCTTCCTTTGTACTATAATATTTTTGTGGTATAAAAATGTATTTGCAGGTGCCCTTTTTCAAAAATTGGTGATTCTTGGCTGTATATGGATACCAACTTTGTGCAATTCGTTGACCTTGTTATTTTGGCCTACTGTAGCAGCGATTTTTGTGGAAAAATCGCTGCTACAGTAGCGATATATATTTACTAATATGCTACAGTAGTTTTGTGCTGCACAAAGACAAAATAACAAGTCAAAGAATTGCACAAACTCTGTATCCATGTACACATCGCCCTGTTTTCACTTAAAAAGTCAGAGAATTGCACAAACTTGGAATTGTGCACTCCCTTTATCCATACACATCGACCTATTTTCACTTAGAAAAACATCAGAGAATTGCACAAACTTGGCATTGCACACTCTCTTCACTTTATCCATGTACACATCGATCAATTTTCACTTAAAAAGTCAAAGGAGCACCCAATTCTACACTAGCCAAACAAAAAATAACATAATCTCAATAAACTACATTTTATATCAAACAATAAAATAACATAAAAAAGAAAATTCATCTTATGTATCTAAGCACTACACAAAACAAATATCCACTTACCTTATTTAGAAATTTCTGAGTCTTTCTGTTTGTGACTCATAAAATTCCTTAACAGCGTCCAAAAACTTCCTAAAATTATCTGAACTAAAGTCCGTATATCGGCATTGCAGCATAAATTCACAAAAATAAGAGTAAAACATATCCTCCATAGTGCAGGTATCCTCCGACGTTCAACCATATGCATTTTCTTCCTACAAACAGGACACTCGTATAATGGCTACTAAGTAAACCTTCATTTACACACCAGTCAATTAATGCACTTTTCCCCTTTCATTCCAAATTGTACCAAAACTTCAAATTAATCTTACCACATTCAGCCATTCTACTGTCTAAACCGCAAAACAAGCAATAAACTTTCTAACCAACACACGCCACAAGCCATTAAAAATCTTTTCCCCATCATTCAAAATTTATGAAAATCACGCAACCGATTACGTCATAATAGGGTTTCCATAACATTCAACTACTCAAGTTACCATAAATGAAACAACTTTGCGATAATATAAGGGCCACCCTCCAATCTACTCTAACATTTATGTGCCCTTACAAATATGCTAGCCAGCGAAACCAGCTGTCATTCCCAGGTTCAATTCCTGTAGAAAGCATGGTTTTTGTAAATGTACAGTACCTTAGTTGCATAGGGATACTTAATTCGAGGTGAAAGTTCCCATAAGAGTTTGATGGTATAGGAAGAAAGACATGAGACCATTAAATTCCATCTCCTAGGATGCACTTGATTGAATATGGAATGGAGCTAAGCAAAGTTGTATGTCATTAATTTGTTCAAGGCCTTGGCCAATGACAAATACTTTTTTCCTTTGTCGATGATTATTCATAAGCTTTTTCTGTATGCTTGGGCAGGAAGATTAGCAATAACAAAATATGCATAGCTAAATAGAATTCTAATTATTTTTTAGTGAAATATGTTAGAAATCTTATTAAATTTAATTTTTAATTATTCAAAATTTTGTTTCCTTAAATTTCAGCTTGCTCAGGTCGTAACTAGAAGTTTTTATATGCAGGTCATGAAATTCAAAGGTGAATTATTTTATTGAGCAAGATAGTCTCAATAATAATTACTAATAATTAAATATTACTACTCTCACTAATTTAGCTGTAACAATGCTTTTATCAAATTTTGGTACTATTTTATTGTGCTTTATCGTACTAGATATATATATGGCAAACTTTTAGCTTTTGTGTGCCAATAAAAATTTTGCTTCAGTCATCCTACCAAAAAAGAGAAAAACAAAATGCATAGGACCTTGAAATATTTTTAAGGTGGAAATGCTATACAAGGATAAATTTATAAATTTCTAATTTATTTTTAAAATTTGTAGATAGATAGGAAAAATAGATTTTTTTTTTTTTTTTCCAGAAATGGTCGTAATTTTCAGAGTTTGTGGCCACAAAAAGTTTGACTCTACTTTTAATTTTATATTGCAGCCAAATATGTTTAATTTTAGAACAAAATTAATTAAAACACTTTTAAATATGAAGTAAGTATTCATTTTTGAAACTAAATTTTGAAGTAAATATTAATTTAAATTTTGAAAATAACTCTGTAATCTGTATTCTTTTAGAATTTTTTCCCTGAGAAACTACATATTTAATCTAGTCCTATATTCATGCTGATTGATATATCACCTTAAACTCAAAATGACTGATAGTATTCAAATTTCTATAAGGATGAGACCATTGATTTCCAGGTAATTATTAATATAATCTTTCATATCCTTATTTTGGTTTATGTACCAGACAATTTTGAATGTATTGTATTTAGTCTTTTTTTTTTAATGCATGTAATTTAAACATGAAAGCAGCTAAACAAAGTTTGAAACTAGTCCTGCACAATTTATGCAACTTACACCAATTCTTATTGCTCTAATAGGTTCAATATTTGTTCTTTGGCATGTTATTTTAGTTCTTGTTGATTTATTATTAATCAACATTTTAATCTTTATCAATAAATTTATCAGTTTAAAGGTAATATAGGTGAATGGTAAATTTAAAATAAATACAATTAGCCACTTTGAGTAATTTAATGTGATAAAAATGTTACTGCCAGAGTACGTTTCCTGAATGAAACTGGAATTTTCTAAGTTTTATATTAAACATTGATCTTTGAATTATTAAAATAATATTTTTAGGTGATTTATTTATACAGTCAAAAGTCGTTAATCCGGACACCCATAATCCGGAATGATCTATAATCCGGACCTCAAAGCCACAAACTTTCTGCGCGATGCATGCGCAGAAAGTTTGTGGCTTTACGCATGCACGTAAGACCTTTACGGCTGCGAATATGCATGTGCGCATGCGCATAATACGTTTACGCATGTGCGTTTAATGTATAAGGGACGGTATAAGCTAAGGTAAAATTGTCTAATTCAGTTAATGTTGCAGATTGCGTTGTTCTTAATCTTCGAATTGGATCTGGCTTATTATTTTTTGCAGACTGTTAGAGCAATTTTATAAAAGTAAGCTTGAACTTTCGATTATGTCAAATAGAATTTCCAATATATATTTACTAATATGTAAAGGATCTACAAAGTGAAAGTATGTTTAGAAGTCCATTAAACAAAAAGTGGAATTGCTGCAAGAAATGGATAAAGGCATATCCTTTGTTTCTCTAACCATTCTGAAATATGTTTATCAATTTCAAGTTTTTTTTTTTGGTAAATTTTGATACCCTTTAGATCATAATTGTTCTTTATTTCATAAATTACGGTTTCATATTTTTAATTTTATAATTTCTGCATGCCATCTTACCAGATTTAAACTGATGATCTATAATCCGGAAAAATCGATAATCTGGAATCGCCGAAGTCCCGGCGAGTCCAGATTAACGACTTTTGACTGTACAATACACTACAAAGTCCGTAATCCGGACTCCTCGAGACTTCCGGATTAAGGGTTTTTCCGGATTATAGATCATCAATTTAAATCTGGTAAGATGGCATGCAGAAATTATAGAATTAAAAATATGAAACCATAATTTATGAAATAAAGAGCAATTATGATTTAAAGGGTATCAAAATTAAAAAAAAAAAACTTAATATTTATTTGTTTACTTTATTAAACATTTCTTTCAATGTAAGTTGTGTAAGTTCTTCATTTTTTTGGTGCTAAACGTGCATTCGTAAACATTAAACGCACATGTGTAACATTAAATGTGCATGCATAAAGCATACAAAAACAACAACAACAACAACAAAAAAAAAAAAAAGTTTGTGGCTTTGAGGTCCGGATAATGGATGTCTGGATTACAGACTTTGTACTGTACTACATTTAAGATGCAATTACATTTACAATTAACTGAATTCTGGAAAAAATTTTGAATGATTTAATCTTTAAAAGTTCACAAAATCTTATATAATTACAGTTATTGCAAATATCTTTATACATTTCATTCAAATATATGAAAGAGATGTCAAGCAACCATTTCCTAATTATTGGTGATTTTGTGGAAGGATACTAATTCTCTTTGAAAAGTCAGCCCTTTTCCATGAGATCAACAACAATTAAATTTTCTTTTAACTTTGTGGGGGGTTACTTTGTGCTTTTATTAATAATTCAAATAGAATTTAATACTTCTGCTAAATTTTATTTTCCATAGAATAGTAATAAGTATAATGTAATAATAGTTTCTAGTCTTCATTTCCTAGGTGATAATCAAAAGTAATAATAATTGATAAATGTATCGGCCTGAACCAACAAAGACTTAAATTAATCTCAGAAAATCAATCAAAGTAATCTATATCTTTATCAAGCTGACCCCTAGGGGTATTAGTAAATAGTGCAAACAATTGCAAAATTATAGCATCAAATATATCTAGATGATTGTTAAACACTTAAAAAATTAAAGAATATAATTGAGAAATTTGGCTTTATTGAAAATTCTTCAGCTGCTTGAAAAAGACCAAGTAATTTTTAAAAAGTTTTTATATATAAAAATATAATTTTTATCAGTTTTATTGAATTATTTTTATTTCAATTTTAAAATGTTATGTTCTGGTACGTGTATTTCCTGTAACAGGATTGCTCACCTTTCATGATCTAATTTTGATTTAATTATTATCTCTTGATTAATTAATTGAATTTGCAGCATACTGTATGACTTTAATAATATATATAATCTTAATCTGAATTTTCTCAATTCATATATATATATGTAATGATTTTGAATGTGCTGTCGAAACTCTTAATAGCTTTTAATATCAATTATGGTTGTGGTTAAGGCATAAAGATGAAGATAAGGGCTTGGATTTCTTTAAATTACTAATCTTTATTCTCACACATATCCACTTAATTTGGCAGACACTTATTCAATCATAATTAAATATGATAAATTTCTATATGCATTGATTTTTTAATCCTAAGACATATGCATTTGAGAAGCAAAGTGGCATGAGGGTGACTGAGCAGTTAGGGAAGGGAAGAATAATGACACAATTAACTCCCCAGCGGTATTTATACTAAATCTGAGGTATAAGTAGAACTAGTCTATGATTGTTTAATTCGACACTGTTTCATAACTTAGAAGATTCTCAAATTTGGGAAAACAGATGAATTTAGGCGGAGTTAATTTTCTAGAATCTAGAATGTTAATTTTGAAGTCGCCAATTATTTTTAAAGCAGCTGTCGTATTTTCTTATATCTTACAGATATATGTATATATGAATATATACAGTGGTACGTCAATGTAAGTCATTAATCTGTTCCAGATCTTTGGAGGTACACAAAACAATCTTTTTCAGTAAGAAATAAAAATAATTAATCCATTCTTATAAAAAGAGTCCTATCATTATTATTATAACCTTGTTTAATACCAAAATACAAATGCTGTGGGTGAAATATATACTATACTTAAATGAAGCATTGCACATGACCGAGAGGACCGTAATCCGGACTCGTCAGGACTTCGACGATTCCGGATTTAAGGGTTTTTCTGGATTATAGATCATCAATTTAAATCTGGTAAGATGGCATGCAGAAATTATAAAATTAAAAATATAAAACCATAATTTATGAAATAAAGAGCAATTATGATGTAAAGGGTATCAAAATTTACAAAAAAAAAAAAAAAAAAAAAAAGCTTAATATTTATTTGTTTACCTTATTAAACATTTATTTCAATGTAAGTTGTTTAAATTGGTTCGTTTTCTGCGCTAAATGCACATGCGTAAACATTAAACGTGCATGCGTAACATTTGTGCATGCGTAAAGCATACAAAAGAAAAAACAAGTTTGTGGCTTTGAGATCCAGAGTATAGATCATTCCGGATAATGGATATTCGGATTACAGACTTTGTACCGTACTGTACATAAATGTTTTCCTACTATTCTGATCAAAAACAAGTTTTCAATGTGCTCTAAAATTTCTAAACTGTTTTTTAATTGCCCCCTTTGCAGTGTTAAATGATTTAATGCCATCTTTGTTTATCATAAACATCATCATACGTGGCATATAGTATGCTAAATCCTGGACATGCATACCATCTTCATACTTTTCAACAATTTCTTTTTTCTCCTCCATAGTGATTCCTAACAATTTTCTTCATTACTCGACTCTTCTCATTAACTTTCCTAAAACTCATTATTAGTGAATTTACAAAAAATAATGTGGGAAAACACAAAATCCAGTGAAAATTTATAGCCAGTTTGTTTACTGAATACTAGCAACTGTTGGACAGTCGTAGCATTGTCTCAAAGGAAGTAAACAAACATTGTGTGGGCAGTCATAATTCATCAAATTTGAATCATGTTCTGGACAAAAATGTTCATGTCCAAATTGGACATATAGCAAGTTGAATATATTCCAAAGTCGATGATTACTGCGGTACCACTATATATGCACATATATATATAATGCTACATGATTATTTAAAATGGCTATCAGTTGGACAGTTAGTTTATCTGCTGTCTGTGACAAGAGTATCTATTATTTGAATATGTTTAATGATATATAAATGAACGTTCCTTTTTAGGGAGCTGGAAAAGAAAGCTACAGTTCACTGGAGCTCTAAGAATTCTACAAGCATTTATCAAATAGCATGTCCTTCAGTAATATTTAATTATGGTAAGAAAAAATTTAAAACAGTAAACATTTCAGGTATAATTTTAAAATTGATTTTTATTCTATAATACATTACACAGAAAAGATCATTTAAATATCTTAATTTTCTGAGCAGCATGACAGTTGAGAGTCCCCCTCCCACTTGATATATATTACCTCATATTTTAGAATATTTTGCTTTCTTATTTATTTCATTATGTAGATATCATCCTAATTAATGAAAAGTTTGGGAATAAAGAGTCTACTTGTTAAAGCTATTTGTAACTCTACAAATCTACTTGTTAAAGCATGTTTAAATACAATTGTTCAAAAGTAGATCCGAAAAGCCATTCCACATAGTGCATTAAAAGACTATTTGAATAAATTTTTTTATGGAAATTTAAATATAGCTTGATTAAAATAGTGAGTTTCTGTTATTTTTTAATTTTATGTTTCATGAAAGTGTGGTTCCTTGACTTTCAATAACTTTTATGCAGTTATTTAGATTTTAATTGCATGCTAAAAAGTTTTTTTATTCTACTGAAACCTGCAAATATTATAAAACTCTATACTTAAAATTCACTTAGATTCTTAGTTTATTTTAATAATTGTGGGCAAATGGAAACCAACTAAGCAGAGAAAACCTTTTTAATTAACAACAGTAATTTTATTGAGCATTTACACATATCAACAGAACATCAACCTGTACGTTACATCAAGAGATGTATATGTAATGATTTTTAAAAATGCGTAGATGAAAACACTGGAACTTTTAACAGTTTACGATGTTGTGTAGATGACCGAGAGGACCGTAGTGGCTTGAAGGTGGCTGAGTGGAAAAGCATGATTACGCAATTTAGCACAACGTATCTTGAAAAATCACAATCTTTATTTTTTATGCATATCAAATCATCCTTTTTCAGACAAGATGTTTCCTAATTATATTTGAATACAGTAAGCTGCATTTTGAAGTACGACGTTTTAAGCAAGTAAGCAGCACCAGCATACATAAAAAGCATCTTGCTGGCAGGAGAGCTTATGCTTTCCTGCCGGCAGTTATAGTACCGTAATTTCCGGAAGAAACGCTGCGATGTTTACGTGTTTAAAACTTAAATTTTCAGCGGGTGCGGCATTTAGGTGCACTAAAAATAAAATATTTCCTACGATGGTCATTGTACATAGTTTGGATGGCCTTGTCATTGTACATAGACTGGTGCTATTCCCACACAAAAGACCACTCAGTTGCTTTTGCGAACGTTATTTTGTTTACATTCTTTCCCTTGAACCGACCTACATGCCTTATTCACCCTAAACGAGATCTCAGAACAATAACATTCTTTCCCCTTTCAAATCAACATTCTCATCAGTTTGAATAGTCTCTCTTCTCTGCTATTCGATGAATCTTCCAGGGCCCATCCTATCCCCACCCCTGCCTTTTCTGCAATTTTTTTCAAAGGCGGACACGACTCCACCTGCCTCGCAATAACGAACTCTGACATATTTCCCCTTCAGCATGAATGGATTTTTCTTGGCATTCTGCCAAATACAGATCCCATCAGTTTAGGTACAAGTACTTGTTGGATAGTTTTTAAGTAAGAAGGGAGCGGAAAATTTTTGAAAATGTCTCTAAACGGCACAGAAGCTATACATTTCTTACCTTTAATTTATTTTTGAGTTATGGTTTTATTTCATGCATTTTTCTTAACTGGTATGTCATATATCAGGACTTAGGTTGAGTTTTTGCATCTATACGGCCCACGACGATGTCACGCGCAATTTAATCTATTGCGGCGTTTCTGTGTAATTTAAATTTTTTTCCTGCCATTTTTCTCGAGTGCGGCGTTTACGCTGATGCGGCCTTTCTTACGGAAATTACTTTCAGAGGAAGAAGGTTGGAAGTGGAAAAGTTTCAGTTCAGAGTTTTGGTTTACAATTAATTTGATTGGATAAGAGGCATTTGCATTAAAACGTTATGTAAGATAGAAAAATCTGGAACCCGTGAGAAGAGATGAATTTAGGGGCAGATCACCAAATTTAGAATGTTAATTTTGAGGTTGCCAATTATTTTTTTTAAAACAGCTATCATATTTTGTTATATCTTACATACATATCAACAAAACAAAGCTGTTGCTGCAAAAAATCTACATTATAATAAACATATTAAATTACATAGTATTTATTGAGTTCGTTCATGTTTCTGAATATCTTCCCACCTTGCAATTTTCTGAAATTGCAACATAGTCTCTTTTCACATCAGAGATTCAGTCGATAAGGAACTTTTACTTGTTTTCCGACTCTAGTAGTTATAAATCTACCTAGCACAGGGGATTCTGTAAGAGGCTCAACTTTCCTTGATGTATTAGTCTGACGATCCAGACTTGTTTGTAGTCGGAAGGATCTTCTAGGATTTGCATCTTGATATGGATTTGACGACACTTTCTGAGATAACTGAGGGACGAGCTACTTCTAAAGAATATAGGTTTTGAACGAGTCTTATTTTTCCACCGCAGAAATTGTAAGAAGTTTCTGTACCTGGCAGACAAGCTGATTTGTAGGATGGGTTTTTTAATATCGGCAGTAACACCAATTGCATGTTGCCGGAATTGCATCAAAAGTTTTGGAAGAAATTCTGTTAAATTCAGCCTCTTTCCAAGGCAAGCATTCAAGGAATTCCCTTTCTCATCTTTTAACGGTGCATCGAATACAGGTCCAACTTTTGTAGTCAGATTGGAATCCTTGATTCCTGCTTGATGATATAGATAGTGACCAGTTTACTAATATTTGGAGATATTTTGATTATAACTTCCTCGTGCCAGCTATTAATAATACCATCATATTCTTCAAAATATCCCATCTTCTGAAGTCTTCATTTGCTGGCAAAAAGTCTCTTTTCCACTTTATTAATTCCAAGAATCCGATGACTATCTTTCCAAGGTAAACATACTTCATATCTATAGCTTTTGATTACTTTGAGGTTTTCTAAACAAAATTTGATGGTTTCAGAATCTAAATTCTCCTTGGTCTTCATTTCTGCTGGAACTTATATGCCAACTGTATCTAAATTCCATAGTTCTGTGAGATCTAAATAGCAAAGTCAGACAGTATCAAGCAAGGTGTGTGATTTTGTACCGGGCCTTGTAGGGACCAACCCAGTTTTTTTTCAATAGCAATAAGGTTTTTATCAATTGGAATGATATTACCCATTATCAACTGTCCAGAATAATTGGCTCCTATTAATTTGGAATATCTCTATCAGAATTATTGCTTTTATGTTTTTGAAGTGAGGAACATATATATTTGAATTTAACTCTAGGAATACAGTACAAAGTCTGTAATCCGGACGTCCATTATCCGGAATGATCTATAATCCGAACCTCAAAGCCACAAACTTTATGCATGCGTGTAGAGAATGTGCATACATTACACATGCGTGTACAGAATGAGCATGCATTACGTATGCGCGCGTTGAAATAAATGTTTAATAAAATAAACAAATAAATATTAAGCTTTTCTTTTGTAAAATTTGATACCCTTTAGATCATAATTGCTCTTTATTTCATAAATTATGGTTTCATATTTTAAATTGTATAATTTCTGCATGCCATCTTACCAGATTTAAATTGATGATCTATAATCCGGAAAAAACCCTCCGGAATCGCCAAAGTTCCGATGAGTCCGGATTACGGACTTTGTACTGTATATCCACAAATTTTGTCTTTATCTAAAACCCATAATTCATATTTGAATACATTTTCCATATTTTGTATCTCGATATAAAAAAAAAAACAAAAAAACATGGACCTGAAATTCAGTTTCAGCTCCTCCAAACAGATCGTGGCTCAAAGTATCTTGATCTAATGGGACTAAATCTGGCCTCTTTATTATGTCCTTTTGTAAGATCTTTGTGACCCACTATCAAACGGTATTTGTACAAGTTCCATTTTTCCATTATGAACAATCATCACCATTATTGTTTGTAAAAGAGTTGTTTGCATTTTTTGGTTAGACAATAAAGTTTCACATGTTTTGTTAGCTAATTTAGGTTGTTCTTTTTTGGATCTTCTAGAGCCTTTTAGTTCTCTGCTCATCCCCGTTACATGACATTTGTTACAAAGTAGATATTTCATAGATTTTTTGGCACCATGCCCAATTTTTAAGCAGTTTAAACAAGCCTTTTACTTCCTCAGTAAATTTTTCTTATCTTCCAATGAAAGATTGTGTAGCTTAATGCACTCATAGGAATTATGTGTTTCCTTATCACACCAGACACAAGAATGAAATTGTTTCTTCTGTGAATCTCCAGCATAAATACAAGGTGCTGTGGCTGGAACTGACTGAACTATCTGGAGTAGAAAAACTTGTATGCACCAATTGAAGATGCTCTTCACTTTCAACTTCAATCTGGAGAAAATGCAATACATTTTCCAAATTTTCAGTGTGTGTGTGACACTTTCTTTACGTTGACAAGATTGCTTCCATGCTCTCAGGATTTCTTCTGGTAATGAAGACTCTGCAAGGGGATATATAATTGTGTAAATCTCACTTTTTAACTCCCAACATTCCCAAAGCTCTTAGCTGCATCTATAACTTATCATATAAGCTGGATAAAGTTATACTTCCTTTTTTGCCAGCTTGAGCAAAAACCAACTTTAATAGTTCAAAACATAGATTTCTACCAGTAATTTGTTGCATGCAGATCTGGATTTTAGCTGTTTGATAGCTTATTTATAATTCACACCTGAGGGAAGATAACTATCTATGATCTCTTTTGCTGAAGATCCAACAACAGTAGTAATAAGATACTGAAATTTATCATCATCATCTGTATTTGTATGTTCATTGATCTTCTTAAACCGTCCACAAAATCCTAACCAATTTTGGTTCTTCCCATTGAATTTTTGAAGCTCCAACGTTGGTAATTTAAAATTCTTCCTTGTAGAATTTTCTAAAGCTCCAGGTGTAACTATAAGAATGCAATTTGCCATTTTATTTTCTACTTTTGTCTTTAAACTAATAGATTTATCACAACATGTTTCATTTGTGCCAAAAATCAGCCAAATGTTCGCTTTCGTTTTCCTCTTTCAACAAAAGTTCAAAAATTTCTGATTGAACTTCATCTAATCAGTTGAATTTACCTTCTAATTGCAAGCTTAATACTTGGAGTTGATCAATCTCCACATTAGCCTTTAGAAATTCCAATTCCACTTCTAAAGCATTGGTGGCAATCGTAAATGATTGCCTTGCACATTTATATTTCCGCAATAAGACTTCCATCATTTTTAAATAAATATGTTCAAGTACATAATCAAATAAACTATAAAAATTATTTCATAAATTCCAGTATGAAATCGATGTTTCGTTTTTAAAATAGCCATTCCTTCCTGTTACAGATGTCACTTAAAAATCATTTAGATTCTTAGTTTATTTTAATAACTGTGGACGAATGGAAACAAACTTCGCACCAAAAACCTTTTTAATTAACAGCAGTAACTATATTTAGCATTTACACATATCAACCAAGCATCAACCTAGACGTTACATCAAGAGACGTTACATCAAGACAAGTATGTATCAGCAAAACAAAGCTGTTGCCACAAAAAATCTACATTATAGTAAACATATTAAATTACATTGTATTCTTTGAGTTCTTTCACATTCCTGAACAGTATACTTCTTATATTCTTACTATTGCTTTTTATTTTAGGAAATAAAAGCAGAATCATTAAGCTGTACACACTACAAATGTTATGCAAAAGGGCAATTTTTATGAGTCTCCAGCCGTATTCTTTATGAATGTCACTCAGTATACCCAACAAATAGTCATCACTTTTGTTAGCGGATGACAAGGAAGCATTTGCAGTGTGGTACTCTACATATTGTGTATAATAGCTTCAAAAATAACCCAGAATGATTCAATTCTTTGAATGTTTGTACCACCTGCAGGCTTGACAGAGTTCTTTTTTGGGTACAGTTTGGAGATATAATTGCAAAACAATAGACTGCCTAATATATCAACGTCAATTATTTTACTTAACAGTAGCAGTATTTATATATATGTGTGTACATATATAATAATTATTTTTAATGATTTATCATCCCTTAATATTTTTAGGTGCTTTGTGATTATCTGTACTCCACTGAAAAATCACAAATTTATTGCTGACTTTCTAGAGGAAAAAGGTCTTTCTACATCATGGTACCCCTTGATGAGATAAAAATTTTTTCCCAAACTAATGTGCCAAAGGCAAGACCCATTTTCAGAATAGTGGCACACTAAGAATTCCTTAAAAGAGCAATTAATCAATAAAATTAAAAGAACAAGAAATGTTTGTAATAAAGCATTTATCTGTTTTAGAAATCTTGAAATCTTTCATTAATTTTTTTGAGCTCTTGTTCTCCTCATGTACATAGCAATCTGTTTTTCCTTAAAAAAAAAAAAAAAAAAAAAAAAAAAAAAAAAAAAAAAAAAAAAGAGAGAGAGAGAATTACACAACCTTTGCAATGTGTACTAGCCAAAGCAACTGTGCGCTAAGCATTTCCACATAAATGCATTTTGGTGATATTATGAATTGTCACATAACCATTTTGGGCCCACTTTGCCTTATGAATACTTTTTTGTGATCATTTGGTGAGATTACAAATTATCAGGCAATATGCAATTTTTCAGTTCTTCAGCTTTCTGTATCAGTTTGAAACACCATGCTCTTAGAGTAATATTTATTATGAACAATGTACTGTTGGTATAAATTTCTGTTATAATGCAAACATTTTGCTTTTTCTCAGAGTTTAATATTTCTTTTTAAAAATACCATCCACTTTTTTAAGTGTGCTCCTTGCATACATATTTCTATCATTTTCTTCACATTTATGAATAAGAAAAATTAAATTTATGTAACGTTTTTAGTTATTCCATTTCGTTTTCTGTTTTAGATTTTTAATTGCTGTTTCATAAACAAAAAATATGTTTAATTTAAATATGAAAGTAGATCTGAAATTTATCTATTATTTGCAGCAAGAGTGTTTTACTCTTTTTTTAAAGTATTTTAGTATTATTAAGTAATTTGAAATAAAATATCAAAGCACAATGCGCTGTCTCAACAAATCCTAATGACCATTTTACACATAAAATAGTTTTGTTCTTTCCATCACTTCTTGTTTTTTCATACATGTTTAATACAGTTTTCATTATGTATTTTTATTTTTTTAGATCATGTATTTGATGGCAATGAAAATAATGAAACAGTTTATTCAGAATTTTGTTCTCCTATCGTCAGAAGCGTTCTTAATGGTATTAACGGTAAGTTATATTTTAAAATACAAAGCTTTAAAGTAGATTTTTCCTTTGTACTTTTATATTTCATCTTCTATTAAATTATTGCAGTTCATTAAAAGCTGGTTATTACAGTCATATTTTTGTACTACATATAATTTGCATTTCTAATTGCTGCAGTAAATCATGTAATGATATACAATTTTACACAATACCATTCTTTCTCCTCGATATTACTATCTCTAGTTTATACTCTGAAGATAACATTTAAGTCCATTTTTAAAATATAAATTAAAATGTATTTCATTTGTATCTAGAATTTATAATGTAAGATGCAGGCACACATTTTTAATTTACTGTCATAAATTTATGTAGTAATGCCTTTTGTTTTAGCTCTTTTCATTCTTCAATTAGTAACTTAATAACATCATAACATTTAAATATTTCGATGCCAATACCTTGTGTATCCCTGAAATCTTACATTTTTGTTTTATTTGATTCAATTTCTTTGCTGTCCACTTAATTAAGGAAAAATTTAATTCAAGATTTATTGTGGATTGAAGACAAATAGTACTATTAATATTTGCAAAAACTTTTTAGCTGATTTCAGTACATGAAATTTTTTTAACTATTTTGAAATTTAACAGTATTTTAAATTATTTCAAAATAGATATATTCAGGTGTATTTTTTTAATATTATGTAAGCTATCTTGCTAGAATAAGAACCAGAGCAATGAAAGTATAAGTGGTAGAATATTGAATAGTTTTGGCAGTTTAAACACTTGAGGTTTATGTTTTGAGCATCTGTCTATTTAGCTCTTCTTGAACCACTATAGTAATGCCAATGAAGGTTGAGTAATAGAACAAAATATATACTGTTTTCCAAAAAATAAGGAAAAATCACAAAAATAGCAATAACCCGTTAAAAAATAAGCCAATCTGTATAAAATCTGAATATGTTGTCAAATAAGAATTGCCAAGTAAAACTCAACCAATTTGTAACATTGACCTCCATGCATCATCAGCCCAAACAACTGCAGTGGATAGCTGTTAGGAGGCTAGAGGCAGGGCAAAGTCAGACAGAGGTGGTCAGATGGCTAAATGTGAGTTCTGTGGTTCATAGACCTATGGCAACAATTTCTAACCACAGATTTGGTATCCAGGAGGTTCAGTCAAGTACGGCCAACCGCTACGACAACTACTGATAACCAATATTTGTTGTTATGTGCACAAAGGAACTGAACCTCAACTCAGATCTTACCTTGCTGCAGCCACTGGAAGGTTTGTGTCAACATTAACTGTGTGTAGAAAGCTTCACGAAGGAGGTCTGTACATGAGGCGACCAGCCATTTGCATGCCACTCAAATCACATCATAGAAGGGAACATTTGAGGTGGGCACGTCAGCATGTCCACTGGACAGCTGATCAATGGAGGGCTGTTCTCTTAATAGATAAGTCCAGGTTTATCCTTCAAAGCGATAATAGGCATTGTTTGCTTTGGATAGAACCCATTATCATCTATCAAACATCTGGAAAAGAGATGCAGAGGAAGCAGTGGTATCTCTTTGGGTGGATGCACAAACCTCCATGTTTTTCCAAGTGGAACTGTGAATGCTCAGGCCTGTAGAGATGACATCCTTGATGCTTAAGTGCATCCTTCTGTTGGGCAATTGGTGATAATTTGAAGCTACAGGACGACAATGATAGACTGCACAGGGCTCATATAGTGGATAATAATCTTCAGCAGCAAACAATTCAGCGCATGGAGTGATCAGCTCAATTCCTGCACCTGAGTCCTATTGAAACTGTTTAAGATGCTCTAAGAAGACGTATAACTTGCACTCAATCCTCCTCTTCAGACCCCTGCTTTGCAAGAGCAATGGCTCTCACTTCCTACGGAACTGTTAGACTGCATAATTGACAGCATCATATATCACTCCATGTGTTGTATTGTTTCTAGGGAAGATCATACTTCATATTGAAGATAATTTTCCTGTACCAAACTAACAAATCTGATTTGTTCATTTTATACATATGCTAATTTCTATAACATTATAATTGTCTGGTAATTTCTTTTCATGTTATTTTATATCTTACTAGGCATTGTATACTGTGGGTCAGTTTCATTAAATTCTACATGTAACGTTTTGAGTAAATGTCATTATTGTGATTTTTCTTTAATTAATGATAACCAGTATATTTAGAATTCTTTATAATTTTTAATGACTGATCAATCATTTAAAATTTAAGCATTCTTTTTTGATATTTTCAAAATTTTATGTCAGAATAGGTTTATTTATGTGTTTGTTTTGTTACCTGAATTTTTTTTTAATGCTGTTTCTGTTGATGAAGTTTCATATTAGCTTCATTTTATAATGAATGCAAGTAGCATGAATAATTGTTCGACTAAGAAAAGGGGGGGACAGTTCAATATTTCTCATTCTACTTTGCCGTTTGACAAAATTCAACTTCTTTTTTTTTTAATGCTTCTAAAGTGCGACTTATGATACGTATTAGATTTACATATAGCATTGTTTTAACATGCCCATTTTGACACAAAATTGGATTTTTCTTTAAAAATTACATGCCAATTTTTTCTCATTGATTCTAAGCCTCAAAATATGCCAAATTTTGTGAAAATTGCAGTAGTTTTTTTTTTTTTTTAAATTAGCAAGTCAAAATTTTAAACCGACAATGTTAACTGAATTTCACATATATTTAATAATACCAACATTTTAAGTTAAACTTACTTAATTTCTTCTTTCATAATTCAGAATTTAAGTTCAAATCAAATAAAATTCATGCATTTTTCTGATTTATTTTTAAAATTTGTATTTTAAAATAAATTTTATAATTTTTTTAAAAACAGTTTGAAATTATAACCTCTAAAATGTTTTTCATCATCTTAAGTAGATGTATTTCTAGGTATATCTGCAAAAAAATTTTTTTATTCAAAATTTCCAAAAATATATGTTAGTTTACATATTGGTGCATTTTGAAATTTAGTATATTTGTTATAAGCAACAGTAACATCAAAGGCGGTTTACTATTTTATTACAATCTTTTAATGAATGCAGAAATTACTTTGAACCCTAAATTTCTAAATAAATTGTTACTGATAATTATTCATATGGAATTTCTTTATTCTTATTTTTTATGTAACTAAATTTATACATCATAGAGTTATTGAATACTTCTGAATATGTTGAACAATATGCCAAAAGTATTATATATAAAACATGCTGCTTTCTCCAATAGAAATGCTTAACAGTGGCAAAATTTACTAGAATACAAGATTTTTATCTTCTTTTCTGTGTGTAGCAAAGGCAACAAGTAAAAATGATTCCAAAGATGTTTTATCTCCAAAGCTATTTCATGACATAAACTGCATAGTAAATTTCTTATACAAACTCTAATTTACATTTGAAAAGGCCACTAATATTATCATCAAAGACCTTTTGTTTCAAAGCAAACTATATTTTTATGTAAACATATAATTTAGAATAAAAACAAAGTCGAATTGTTATTTGTCAGGATCTGAATTCCAGTCATTAGTAATACAGTAAATGATGTTTATTATTACATTTGTTTTAACATTCTAATTATTTTTGTTACATTTTCTTTTACATTAGAATTTATTAAAATTATTGTAAAATAATTTTAAAAATTTGTCCTTTGTGGACATGGTGCTAATTTTATATCAGTCAAAGTTTTAACACCTGCAGTTCTACTCTTTCCATCAAAAAGTGCAAATTAAGTGAGTTAACTAATGAATAACAATTGAAGTTCAGAAAGAAAAAAATAAAATTAAACCATTTGCTTCCTCTCTGTCATATTCCTCCCAACTTGTTTACTTAGTTCAGAAATTATGCATAAATAAAGTTGATTGGTTATTTAAATATCACAAAGCACATGGAAGCTATCTGCCTAAGGGAAGGAATACTTTTGTGGCGACTTTTTCTAAGGAGAAGTAGCTTGTATTCACACTACTACATGGGAAAAATCATGAAATACATGCAACCAGTAGTTTGCCTGAGTTGAACTAAGTGGTTAACCACCGGACATAAGTGGTTAACCACCAGACTGAAGTCTTTAACCACCGGACCACTTAAATTAGGCCTCCCACCAAGCTCATCAGTTCTTTAACTTTTAGATTGAGTTGTGATTTGCATCTTTAAAATCAATTTCAGAAATGAAATAATGCTTTATTCAGTTTTAAGCCAAGTATATTAATACATTTTCTGAATGTTGTTCATCTTGCCAATAAAATATGGAGAAAGGTATCATGGTATAAAATTTTTTCTTGATGCCTGGCTTTGTTATTGGAGTTCAAAGAAAAGGATGGTATACCTTTAGAAAACTTCCAACATATATCATTGTGAATTTCTTTCAAGCTGAAGACTTCATGGATTCAGGTTGAGAAGTTATAATGAATGAAATCCCATCAGATGAAACTATTCTGAAGCCTGTAAAAGGCAGTTTCATCTTAGGAGAAAATAAGGATCTAGGTGACAAAGATAATAATGAAGAACATGTTCCAAAAGTAAAAGAGGCATTGAAGTGAGTTAGGACTTAAGTTCTTAGAATATGTAGAAAGTGTAGAAAAACATAGCTTCTGAAATTGGAAATAAAGAACATGTTCTATTTAAAATGTTTGTAGAAATCAACAGCATGTAACAAACTATCTTAGTGTTAATTAATACTATGTAAAATTGATTTTCTTTACTAAATTGTTAATATACTTTGAGTATATATTATTTTTTTAGATATAAATCTTTGTCACTATCATACTGAATTCAGTATGATAGTGACAAAGAACACTTTGCCGCTTTGGTTATAATGTACCATCAGGCTCCTTTCAGATGGTGGTATGAATGTCATAAGTGGTTTAAACTGAGCTTCATATCTAGGTAACTAGACCTTACTACATCACAAAAAAGGGATATTGGCACAAAGTTTGAAGTTTGAAACTTTATGTCGACTTGGTATGTGAGTAAAAAATTAGGGTGAATGTGCAAAGCTTATTAAGCAGAAAAGCAATAGATGCATCCACACATGTGCAAATTTAGTTTCTCTAATTGGCTATGGCTTAGACTCTGTCTCACAGTGTGGATAGAAATCCTGCATTTTATGCTTAAAATTTTATGACTATGGGATATTTATTATGTCTCAAATTTATGACTGTGCCTCTGTGATATTTATACCACTGTATGTACGAAGCCTAAGTGTAGTGATAGAAATATGCAAGTTTGTGAAGATTTACTATAAGTGACTGCATTTTATTTGTTCGCTGCTGATATAAAGTTTGTCTAGATTGGGATTTCTTAAACTTTTTTCAGTCGCAACCCCTTTTTATCACAGATGTTTTCGTGACCCCCAGAACCCCATAATATTTACAAAAATTTTGTGGGGCCCCATAAGTATTGTGCAAATCCAACACACGCATGAGTAAAACTCTGGATTTTTTCACTTATACTGTAATATACTATTGCAGGTTTAGTTTTAACTTTAATTTCAAAATGTAGAACAATGTGAAAATTTTAAAAAAGTAACATACAAAATGACAGCGTCACGTGCAAAGCAAGGAAAATAAACATTTATATTGTAAAAAAAATGAGTCGAATTATTTTCGTTTTTTTGTTGTCTGTATTGTTTTATCTTTATCTATCTTCAGATATATTGTGTAGAAATATTTGGAAATTGTAAAATTATTATAAGAAGTTAAAGAAATACCAAAAGTGCTAAAATTTTTCGCGACCTACAGTTTAAGAAACCCTGGTCTAGATTGATAAACTCATACAAAATCCTTTCATATTAAATAATAAATTTAAATCTCAACACAGACTCTTTAGATATTCAATGGGTTATGCATAACATTTCATTATCTTTTTCTGTAGGATAATAATAGGAAGTTAATGAAATGTTTTTGAGTTGCATGATATGCACATACAGGGAAACTTCTTTGATTCTGCCTTAAAAAGTTTTATAAAGAAATACATATAGCATTCTTTTTATAATTTAAAATTATTGTTGTTTACAAATTATATATAAAAGAATGGTCTATTAAAATTAATTGAGTTAAGAGAACTAATAAAATTATTGACATCTCAACAAATATTTTAAAAAACTTATTTTTTATTCAGGCATAATGGGGGGGGTACTATGATAGATTTAATGGTTTATTAAGCTTGAAAAATGATTAGGACATGTTTTGAAATTTGAATATTTACAACCATTAGTTAAAAGTAATTTGAAATAGAGTTATATGTGTATAAACTTTGCATTTAGGTACTATTTTTGCATATGGCCAGACAGCTTCTGGGAAAACATTTACTATGATGGGAAAAGATGATGGAGAAACACTTGGAATTGTACACTTTGCAATTTTTGATATTTTTAATGACATAAAGAAGGTAAATTTATATTTATTTTATGTTCTTAAGAATAAATTAGTTATATATTTTTAAATATTTTAACATTTAAGTAACATAAATAGTATTTAATTTTTATTCTTAAAAAATAAAAATATTTTGTTAATGCTTTACCCATTTAAATCATTTTAAAAGTTTTATTGTTGAGAATTAATGCATCATAACTTCAAAAACAATTTCCCCTAAAATTTTACTATATATATATATTTATTTATTTAATGTTTTTTTTAAGCCATTTAAGATTTTTTAGTTTTTGTTATCAGAAAATGTTTAGTTATGATGTAGTTAGTTTACTGTGAATTTTTCAAAAAACTTTTTTTTACCAAAAATTTCTAGAATTTGGAGAGAGAATTCCTTTTGAGGATTTCATACATGGAAGTTTATAATGAAATAGTTTCAGATTTATTGTCTGAAAGCAGTGACAATTTAAAGCTTCAAGATAATGAAGTGAGTTTTTAAAAATGAATAGTTTTATTGCTTTTGCATTGTTCTCTTATTTTAAAAATTCCTTACCTAAGATATATGTATATTTAGAATTAAAAAAAAACTGTAGTATTTATGTAATGTAGATTTTTAGTTAGAAGGCTGAATGCATTTTAAGAGAGAGTGAGCAGTTATCCTTATTCAAAAACAAACTGTTCTGAATGGGTATAAAAGTTCATGCTCCTGAAAATGACAACTGTTTAGCTCTATTTATTTAGTAAAACAAGTAAAAAGGGGTAAAATACATATACAAGATAAGGAATTTAAACTCTGTCTGGAAACTGAGACTTCAAATGAAAATCCATACTTAAGGTTCATATATAAATACAATTTTTGTTTATTTTAAAATTTAGGGTTTATATCATAGGTTCTCAACCTTATTTTGCCCACCACCTGCTTTAAGAATAATTTTTTCCCTAAAGCCCCTAGTTTTATTACTTTTGAATCTGAAACAGCTATTGCCATGACTGAAATGTGTAATATTATATACTATAGTAGTAAGATAGGATATGAACCTATCCTTATCCTGAGTTTAAAGAAGACTGTTTCAATGAGAACAATTAACAATTTACTTAATTATACTAAAAAGTATTTTTATTAACATCCAAAAGACATTTATTAACATTCAAAAGAATTTATTACGTATCTAATGAAAAGGTTGAATTTGATGCATTTAAAGGTGTTTGTTAATAGCAGGTTATATTTTACTTAAAAACAACTGTAATTCGCTGCATTCAGTAACATGGAGCCAATTTCTCTTTTTAGTTACCAACATACATAAATCCACATTCAGCTAAATAGGAAGATCGGAATGCTATCAGAAATCATTGAATAGTCGTCCATAATACTGCGTACAGTTGCAAAATCGGCTTCTGCAGCCAAAATTCTTGGTAGCCATTCTTGAATTTAATTTTTTATTATTCATTTTTCGTCAGTTAGTTCTATTAGTTCTTCTTCTAACTGGGATGATCCTGCATTGTTGGGATTTGAAAAAGGATCCAAAACCCAGTCTGGTACATCCATGTTCAGAATGTCCTGGAATCGTTCCTTGAAATCACTGTGGAGGTTTTCCAAGTATTGACAGTGAACAAGCAAGGGGTCGTGCTTGAATGATACCGCTGATACATTTCGGAAGTTATTGAATTCGCATCTGCCAATATTTCTTTTGTATAATAACAGTTTTGACATGACAGCATCAATGCTACTTTTTTTGTCTTAATCAAGTTGTTGCCTTGAAGTTGGAGATTGACATCATTAAACAATTTATGCAGGTCCTATCAAGTATGCAATATCATTGTTTGATGAGATGAAGTTGTCGTGCAGCTCTGTGTCTTTGTTTCCTAGGAACTCTATCACAGACCCAAACAGATTGTAAAATCGAGTCGAACAAGTACCTTTTGACAGCCAGCGCACCTCTTTGTGAAGCAGCAATTGGTTGAAATCTTCATCATTTGCAATGCAAAGCTGACTAAATAATCTGTCATTCAATGTGTTACTTCTGATTTTATTACCTGCTCTGATAACATATTGCAGTGATATATAGAGGCATTCACAAAGATTTTTCACAACCAAATGCTGACAATGAATTATGCAATGCACAGCAAGCAAGTCAAGAACTTTATTTTTTAAGCACACTATGAAGCCTTTGTGACGCCCTGTCATAGTTAGTACGCCATCCATAGCAACTGACAATATTATTAAAAGGAATTTCTTTTTCATCACAAAACTTTTCCAGTGTATTTAATATGGTTTCTCCTTTTGTATCTGTTTTCAAATTGTTAGCAAACAATAGTTCTTGATATATTTTTTCATCTTTGATAAACCTCACATATGACAATAACAATGCTTCATTGGTTGGTAAAGTGGACTCATCCAGCTGAATTGAAAATTGACATGTCTGCAGATGATTACACAATAATTCTTCAATGTTTTCAGCCATCTCATCAATTCGTCTTTGCACAAAACTATAGCTCAAAGGGATTTTTCAGATAATACCTGTAGTTAGTTTATGGAGCACAGTAGTTATTACTTCTTTTACTGCTGGTAAAATTAAATCTTCTCAAATAGTATGTGGTTTGGCTGTTTTAGCTATCAACAATGAGATATTGTATGAAGCTTGAAGTCCGTTGTTGTCTTGCTTAGAAGCTGATGAAAAAAGTTTTGACATAGTTGGCTGAATTTCGCACTTCTTTTTCACATCTTGAAAATAGGTCAGGTCTTTGTATTTCTTATTCAGGTGTATTTTATTAAAATGATATTGAAGCCTAGAAGGCTTTATTGCTTCATTTAAAAATGCTTTTTGACAAATAAGGAACACTGGCGATGATGGATTCATCGGATTTTTGATAAATTCATATTTAATGTAATCTGCACTATACTGTCCTCTCTTCTTTTTTTTGCTTTCAACATAGCTTTTACTTTACCAAAAAAAAAAAAAAAAAAAAAAAAAAAAAAAAAAAGAGGTTGAACTAAAACAATCACATACGCAAGGCAGCTAGAATACTGTCTGTTTTTCATTATTTTTGTTCTTGCATCTACAGGTTTTATATGTCACTTTCTTATTTATACTTATATATTGTGCAACTACTTAATATAAGTTTTGTGTTTAAATAAGAGGATGTGTATCCAATTAATTCACAGTAGTATTGAATGTTAGACATATCCAAGTTAAGAGTTATTTATAATAAAATATATATACTGTGAGAAGAAACATAACATTCAGAGTGTGTTGACAATTAACTGTCTCAAGCTGGTAAAACAAGTGCGTGCCAAAAGACGGTTGTTATCAATTAACTATTTCCATTACTCCAAAATACGTGACAAACAGCACAAGTTCTCAATTAACTATTTCCTTTTCTCATGGGAAAAAACAGTGTTAAGCACTGTGCGAGAGATCCGCTTAGGGAGACACAAAAGAAAGTCTTTGATTACGCTAAAAGATGCATGGAGAACTGTGATGAATGTGCTGTGAATAGAGCACAAAGATTGCATCTGCAGAAGCGAATGGTCTGCTTCAGTTTTATTCAATGCTCTAATGCTAATTTTAGCATAATTCATCTTTTGTGTAACCAAGAATTAGTTTGTTAAATTTTCATTAAAAATCAAAAAGACAACCTGTCTGTTTATTCTCCCATCTTGGGAAAACTTGGTGACGTTACAATACTAGAGAGGTATCTCTCAACAGTAAACAGATCAACTTTTAAAACCCCAATTATTCTTTTTTATTTTCATTAGCATTACTGCTGCCATCAATTGTGCGGGATAATGCTAATGAAAATAGAATGAACAATGATTGCCTTTATATAGGTTGGAGACGTATAATGAGCATCGACAGGAATAAGATAAACAAACTCGTTTATAACACTCGGCACACAAGTAAAGCACAGGGGCAAGGGCAATGCGGGAGCAGAGTGTCGTTTAGCACAGATAATACTGTCAATTCCTGCAGGATTGCAAAAATCACGTTATTTAACAGAAACTTGTTATAACTGAAGTGCTACAATCATATTTTTTTTTCCTATTTTTTATTAACAGGCTTTTGTTAACTTTACCTATGTTTGAGTATAAAGGAACCCATCAAACACAATGTTAAACTAAGTATAATTCTTTATTGTTACAAAAAAGTAATTGTTTCTGCCCTTCTTTTGCTACAACCTTCACTAGCTACAAAAATGTTATCAAATTATTCCAAGTTTGCAAGCTCCTCCAACATGATTTCCATTTTTGGAGGATAACAAAAAGAAAAAAAAAATTGACCTTTAGTTCACTTTTCCTACTCTCTAGATTAAATTACATATGTTTTTTATATAATTTTTTTTGGGGGGGATAGGGTAGGAAAGTTGAACTAGTGTCCCAGCATTAAAGTTTAGTTAGTACATGATTAGCGTGTTTTTGTCTTTTTAGACAATATTTTTTTTAATCTGCCCATGCCCCTCCATGCAATCTCCATGCCCCCTAATTTTCTCTGGGTCTTCTACTGCCCCTCTAGAAGTCTCAAACACCCACAGGGGGGCGCTATTACTTATGTTGAGAATCTAGTGTTTATATGGTACTTTTCTTTATCTGCTGGCAAATCTGACAACCATATCTCATTATGTTTTGGTGATCATTTTTATTCTCAAAATTCTCTTTTTGAGTTTCACATTGTTTAGTCTAACCATGTGGCTCTTTGAATTATCATTCACTTGAAAAGATTCGATAGAATATTTCCAGCAATGTGGAGCTCTCCCAAGTAATCAAAAATGGTAAAATCTCCATGATATGAATCTATAAAAAGGATTAGGTGCTAATGTAATAGCTGCGAAGAAAATGTCCACATTAGGAAAGGTAACTGGTTTGAGACATCTCATATCTCATTTGCATGCACACTCATTTAGAACTGACCTCAGTTCACTTAAACACAATACTGTAGTTGATTGGAACAACTATTTACTCAAAATTTTACAGATATGGTTGCCAGATATGCAAACAGATAAAGGAAAAGTACCATTTAAACTATCCAAAAGAGGGCAGACTGAATAATAGTTGAATAATCACTGAATAATAGTTGAATAATCAGGAATGTAGGATATTATGGAAATACTGGAGATCAGATATTAAAATTAAATATTGAACAAAAATCATTTACATACTTGGTACATTAGAAGACAGACATAGTCACTGTACATTGAAACCAGTATGTATTTTTTTAAAAATTATACCCATATTTGTAAAATTAATATATTGGAAAATATAAAGATTTGTTCATTATTATAATAAGTGTGGAATAGAGAAGCAATGTGATGGGATGGATAAGAAAGAAAGCAATAAAATGTACTCAGTAAAGTCAACAAGTTACTTTGCAAAAAACCAAGTTATTAATGCTATTTGTTTCATTGTTACTCGGTTATATTAGGTGACATTCACATTGAAGTAACAAGTCTTCACACTTGAGTGTCTTGGTTTATATTATTTACATTCGGGTT